TGGCCCCATCTTTGACCAATAGTATTTCACAAAACATTTGTAAACATATTAATAATAATAGTAAAAATAATTTAGACCCTTTAAAAAAAGCTGGTGTGGTTTATAGAATTGAATGTGACTGTCATAATCCGTGTGTATATATAGGAGAAACCGGGCGTGTACTAGAAACTAGAGTTAAAGAACACGAAGCGGCCATTCGGCTTAAGTATAATAATTCTCCGTGGTTTAACCACATCAATAGTAATAATTGTAATATTAATAGAAACAATGTAAAAATTTTACATATTGAAAAAGATATTTATAAAAGAAAATTCAAAGAACATATAGAAATTAGAAAACAAAATAATAATAATTTAATAAATCAGTCGAAAGGGATGGAAATAAATTATAGCTGGTACAATCTAATAGATGGCGCTAGAATAAAATAAAAAATAAATGGTTATGTATTAAGACGTCATCACTTGATTACCGTTGTAAAGTGTTGGTGGTCTACTGTGTGACTTTGTAAAGTGTTGATGGTATGAAGTTAAAAATTTGTAGTGCTTTGGAATTATTTTTACAATTGTTTGTCAATGAATTTTTAATAATTAGTTGGTTTTGGTATGTTTATTATACACGTATGTGGAAAAAATTTTTTTAAACTTGTAAGTATAAGTATTGTTTAATATATTATTTGTATTAGCCTTATATTGTTTTATACAAAAAAAGATAATTGTAATTTTAGGATTCTTACAAATGTGTACAAAGTTTACCACCCCTACCCATGGAAATATCATTGTAATTACCACCAGCGGTTATTCACTGAAGAGGGACTGGAAAATATTAGACCAGCCTGAAATGCATTTGATGTAGTCTTTACAAAATAAATTTAATTTGCCAATAAGATTGCTGTGAGATTTGTCTACCAAGAATAATTTTGGATTACAGAGACTAAAATCGTCATAATAACTAATATACAGCAAACCATTTATATATATTTTGATTAAAATTAATTTTAAAAGGTACAATTACTGTGGTATAAAATCTAAAAACTTAATTTTACATTGCATATTTTGTAAAAAAAAATAGTTTAAAATAAAATTGCATTTCTTCCATTTTATTTGTATGAACTGCCAGTAACTATGTAAACTTTAAAATTATATTTAAAATTTATTGAATGAACAGTTTTGTAATACTTAATATACAATGTTTTTACTGTTTAAATAAAGTACTTTGAATTTAATGATTGATTTATTACTGTGACAAACATATATCATAGATCTATTTTATACAGAAAATGTTTTCAAAAAATTATTTATTATTATAATTGCAATAATTGATATTATAAGTTGTTTTATAAGTGCAATAAGTGATTTTTGGGTAATTGATTCTTTTATAACTATATCAAGAAATGTAGATATTTTCATCATGTAACATTATATCAGTGGCATAGCTAGGGTTTATGCCATTTAAGATGACCTTAAGCTTACTACCCCATGAAAAAGCATAATACACATCAAACATACTTAGACGAAAAGTGGAAAAGACATAAAACCATAGGGGAAAATCTGTGAAAAAATTAGGATGCTATTATTAAGCACAAGTTGGTATATGATCAATAAGGCCATTGAAGAAACATAATCTTTACTGTTGTTTGAAATTCTGACAACAAGTAGTGTTTTTATGGAAAAATAAAATTGTTTCTGGTGTCTTCTATCTTTTTACTGTCCCAACAAAAAATTTACTGTTTTTTTTTACCTTGCAGTAGACTAAAAGTGTTACTCAGAACAAATCACATTTCCTTAGCTGTGTTCTGGATTATATGCCACTATAATTAGTTGTATAATTATTAAAATATTAGTAATACTTAAAACTTAGCTTTAGATATATTATTCATCTCAATTTTTCACATACAATCTAATATACACATGTAAGAAAACTCACTACAGTTTTACAGCAATTATTAATCATGTTTATTAATAAAAAAGTTTAATGATGATATTCATAGTAAATAAAACTGATTATAAATAGGTAATCTGTTGAAAGATTTTAATCTGCGAAATATTGCAAGATATTCCAGTAAAATATGAAGAAAAAACTTATTGGAGATTAAAATACTATGATTAAGAATTTCTGATAAAATAATTGTAGTTTACAGAATTATCATTCAGAAATAGCTTTTATTTACTACTAGCAGGTGGGCCCGGCGTTGCTCGGGCAAATGTAACAATAACTAAGATAAAGATTATTACATTACAGTCAACCTTACCCGTTTTCACAAAATGCAAGAATTGGGTTCCCTTGTTTCCAGACTAATTAGAGAATTTTTAAATGGGTCTAAAAATATGTTCGATTTTCCGCAAAAACGAAAAAAACTGCATCTGCGTCTTGCACGTCGCTTTCTCTTAACAATTCCATTGTTACGTAACACTTCCATTGTTGAAACTTCCATTGTTACTTAAAACTTTTATTGTTACTTAGCACTTCCATTGTTACTTAACACTTCCATTGTTGATGGAAGCGTTAAGCCTTAATCCTGTCCCTCTCCCCCATGGGGAGGAATTTCGAAAAATCCCTTCTTAGTGTGCGTTTTCGTGACGTACCCTATCTGTGTACCATATTTCAACTTTCAACTCCTAACCGTTTGGGCTCTGTGCTGATTATTATTATTATCAACTCGTCTCGATTATATATATAGATACAAGTTAAACTTAGAGTAAGTTTATTACATTTCGCCACAACATCTGTGAATGGCCAAGGATGGTGGATCAGTCTGTTGCTCTGGGGACCAAGGATTGAATCCAGGCAAAGAACTCCAATAATTTTTCATGGATAGTCAGTCACAGATATGTTTGGCCTTGTCTTTCATCATCTGACCATCCCCATTGTGAGCCTAGCAAAATCCTCAATGGTTATAGAAAAAAAATTATCTTAGTGCCCAAAGGATAGAAAAGTTAAAAATGAAAAAATTTATTACATTTTGCCATTGTCATCCCTTAAGAATGATCTTTGTCATTCGATCCTACTGATCCTTAAAATACCAACACTAAGCAGGCACACACAAACAGTAACAAAAGAACTTTATTAAAATAAGATCAGAGCTATCGTCTACATCCTTAGGCTACATCCAGGCAACTCAGCAAACTTTCGCACTTTTTTTCTTTTATTATATCCATTGTCAGGCAACAACTCGTTAGAAGTGTTGCCAGACTGTGTTTACGATCTCTGGCACTGGCGGCCACAGATCTAATACAGTAAAACCTGTCTAGAATGAAACCTGAATAAAATAAAAACCTGCCTAAACTGAAAGAATTCTTTGGAATGGAGAAATTTTTTATGTTAAATCTTACTATAAGCTAGAAATCTGTCCATTGTGGAAATGGTAGAGGTTTTTGAATATGAAGAACATAACCTGGATGAAGCAGAAATTAAGATTCTGTTTATAGACAAATAAGTAAAAATTTTTTTTAAGTATACATTTATTGTAATCAATGTAATGTAATTGGTCAGTAATTAATCAATATTTCTTTACTTCTTATGATTTCTATAAAATATAAATTGGGATTTAAAAATGAATTATGAAAAATGAAATATAATAGTTATCTCAGAGCATAAACTGTATTCCAAGAATGGTTTCAAACCTTGTTAGAGAAACAAAGGCCACATGATAAAAATGGTCTTACAGACAAGGTCTTTGCTAATATTAGTCTTTGTTACAGAATATTTTAAAGAATCAAATGAGTTTCTGAAAATTGAGTTCTCTAGTACAAGCAACAAATGCAATTCATTAAAATAATAAGAATAAGATAATGCAGTACTGTCAGTTTGCCATGTATAGAGAACTTGCATGAACGTCATCTCATATGACCAAATTGTTATTGCTCCGCCTCCTGTGCCATATTTATGCTGTGCTGTTCATGGAAGTGTATATGGTTTGGCTTGTGTCTGAATGTTTATCATGTTTAGAAGATGGCGAAACTTGCATTTTATTTTCCCAGCTCCATTATATAGTGTGTCTCATATGTCAGTTAAATGTTTCAGAACTTCTAAGATGGGTAGGGTGCATCCAGATGACTCGCAATGTGGGGTCAGAAATACTTTCCTGACACGGTAGCTGGTGTTGCGTGAAAGTTCCGTGCATTCTTGCAGGGAATCGTCATTTCGCACAAGGATGCAGAGTTAGCTGATATGCATTTGGTGTACGGACCTGCAGATTGTAGTGGGCCAGCCGCACAGCGCTTGTACATGGAATGATATCCGATGAGGCATATTCCCAGCCATAATTTCTTTGCAAGCCTGCACCAGAGGTTAGCTGTTTCTGTGTACATCACCGCTTCAGGAAAGCATTTCTGACCCTGCATTGCTATATTATTCTGAGTCGTCAGGCTGCACCCTACCCTCTTAGAAGTTCTGAAACGTTTAATTGAGACACCCTGTATATATCAGAGGGAAATTGTGGGAACATTTTTACATTTTTGGGCTTGGGACATTGAAACAACAAGAAATGCAAAAATAAAAAATTAGAGGTTTTATCTGTATCTATCTATGGATGGATGTGTATGTGTATAGAATGGGTATGATTTTGTTCACCCAATTTGAAGCTGAATATTTTCCATGACTTTTGTCAAAAATTCCTGAAATTTTGCAGGGAGGTTTATATATTAGGGGATTGATGATATTAAATTTTGATAGTTAAAGGTCAAGGGGATCATGAATCATATCCAGGGACAAATCTAGGTTTTGGGGGCCTAGGGCTTATTGAAGTCCAATGGGACCCCATCTTTTGTTAGATTAAGAATCTTTAAATTGGGATTTAAAATTCATTTTTAAATCCTAATTTATATCTTATAGAAACCATAAGAAGTAAAGAAATATTTATATTGATTAATTACTGACCAATTACGTTACATTGATTACAATAAAANAAAAATAATAATACTTTTAAAATTCTAAACGTGTTATATTTGTAAGTTTTAATTTTTATTTAATAAATTTTGTAGATGGCGTTTCATCGTCTCGATACCAACCAAGTACAAAATGCCGGACGGAGAGGCTAGGGAATCGGATGTGATTCTCTTAAACTAAATATTTTGTTTTAAAGTATTAAAATGGCAGACAAAAGTTTGGAATCCATCCAGTTAGAAAGGGATCAGTTAAAACAAGAATTAGAACGTTTACATTGTGAATTGGCTCAAACGAGTCACGAAAAAATCCAATCTGCCCAATATGGTTTAGTGCTTTTAGACGAAAAAGAAGCTCTTCAACAAAAATGCGAAGAACTAGAAGCACTTTATGATGCTACAAAGCATGAATCGGATTGCCTCCGAGAAGTAGGTCTTCTTTTACATTTTTAATGACTTTCTTCTTATATATTTGGATGAAAAATTGCATAACTTTTTAGGCAACGTAATTTCTTTTTTTTTTCTCAATGGTTTTCGTAGAGAAAAACATTAATTATATTGATTTTTCAATATAATATAATATATGTTTACGTAATATGTAATGTTCATTTATCTAACTTTAGCCATTAACAAATAAATATTAAACATTCCATGTAAGGAATGCAGGTAAGTATAGAGCTTCCCACAAACAGGTTTGATGACTAAATGATAGTAACTCCCTCTGAAGTACTCCCATTTCATTTATGATTTGTTAAAGTATATCATGCGGTTTAAAATTCTCGTGCGGATAATTAGAAAATTAATTTAATTTTACAAATACGCTTTAAAGAAAAATTTATTTTTGTCGTCGTCTAATATTTCTCACGGTGTCTCAAAATATATTGAATAGTTGTCTTCGTGTAATAGTCGTAGGCAGTGAATTTTTTTTATAAAGTAGATATTCCATGTAGGATAGCCCCCGTAGCATGAAAGTTGTTTTCGTAACGTTTGTAAATATAATAAGTCTGGTATTTTGAATAATTTTGAGTGTTTTTGTGTTCAAGAAGAATACCAAAGCATTAAAATAGCATTTAATGCAAATAATCGGTTTGTGTGTACTTTTATATAGGTTGCGAGTTAGAGCTAAAACGTATGAAAGTTATAATTTTTTGTTTATCGTAACTCCTGTACTTAAAACTTTTTTCAAAATCTAAAATCTTTTCTCGTCCGCTGAAGCAATGACAGAGGTTATTTTTTTTCTGAAAAATTGTTTTGATTTTATTACTGTTTTTTGAAATTATTAATAAACAGTGAAAAATGTTTTGTGTTCTCGTTCAGATAATAGAAAGCATAGAGTCGTATGTGTTATGTTGGAAATATTTTTTTTTAGTTTAAAACATGTACTGTTCTTCTGGCACATGATAACTGACAGAAATTATTGTTTTATTTTCTGTCTCACTTTAGTATAGTTTCAGTTTGAAAACTCAAACATATCCATATAATATAAACAATCATTCCCATGTAATTATTGTTTATTTGGTATTTATATTATAAGCAAGAGTGTAGATGCCCAACAAAACCCAAAAATTCAGCACAAAATGTAAATACTTAATTTAAAACAAATTTTTTTGGCAGTATTAAACAACCATCTTCAGATTAAATGGAACATTTGAAAGTTGAAAGAAAAATGGACTTTTGAGTTTTGTTGGTTATCTATGCTTGTTATTCTAAAGTTGTAAAGTTAAGCAAAAGTATGGTTTAAAATTGGCAGAAAGTCTATTAAGATTGCAGAAAGCATGAAATATACTATACATAGAATGCAATAGAAATATAATAGATTTTATTTATTTTAATCATAGATATCATTGTCAGTTGTTTAACATTATCAGAATTAACATATCCAAAGCACATAAGTTAATCATAAATATTGTTATAATAGTAATAATTATAACAGTAAATCTTAAAGTTATGCATTTTTTAAATTGTTTTAACATGTTCTTTCAATGTCAGAGCTAATAAAACTAGAAGTTTCCCATAATCTGTAGGGTATATGATAAGTAGGTTATGTGGAGGTTTTATTTTTGTTCTATAGGGCATAACTTGTGGATTATATAAACAAAAATATTGGTACTCTGTTTAATATTATCTGTCAATTATCATCATTGGAATAGATGAATCCTAAAGTTATTGCAATAATTGGATTCTGCTATATTTTACTACCAGATGAATCCTGTGTTACTTGGCCAAAAAATAACAACAGCAAAAATTAAGATTATTAGATTGTTTTGTACTTCTAACCCTTCTACTATACTACATTATAATATTTGATTTATATTTACAAAGGTTATCTTACGTTAAGAGTTTATCACACTGACAAGGGAACTGTCGGAGTGTCATCTAATAAATTTTAATAAAATTTAGTTAATAACTACGTTAAAAGTATACAAACTCTATTTTAAATTTGTAGCATTCACTAAAAGTGTTGATCAGAGTTATTAGCAATCAAACGTTGCACTACTTTATAGTAGTTTAACACAATTATGCAAATTTTTAGAAGTGAAAGGGTCGCGGAGGAAGACGGCGATATTACATTTAGAATAAATTCTGGAATTTTCAAAAATGGGAGAAGAATTAATAAAATTTAGTTAATAATTATGTTAAAAGTATACAAAATTTTATTAATTCTTCAACCATTTTTGAAAATTCCAGAATTTATTCTAAATGTAATATCGCCGTCTTCCTCCGCGACCCTTTCACTTCTAAAAATTTGCATAATTGTGTTAAACTACTATAAAGTAGTGCAACGTTTGATTGCTAATAACTCTGATCAACACTTTTAGTGAATGCTACAAATTTAAAATAGAGTTTGTATACTTTTAACGTAGTTATTAACTAAATTTTATTAAAATTTATTAGATGACACTCCGACAGTTCCCTTGTGAGTACCCAATCCTTAACACATTTTAAAAATTCTTTATTCCTCTATTGTATACAATTTTTAAAGAATTTTTAAAATGTGTTAATTAGTCCATTGGTGTGATAAACCTTTACATAAGATAACCTTTATAGTTATCTAGCCGATCTTACCAATTTTCACTGGGTGCAAATGGGAATTATGTTTCCCCTCTTTTGAGGTTAATTAGAGAATTTTTAGATGAGTCTAAAAATATGTTAGATTTCCCAAAAAAAACACAAAAAACCACATCTAAAATAGTACAATAGAAGCCAGGTTCTTCAGCGTAATTTTTAACCTTTTCCCTCTCCCCTGCAAGGGAGAATTTCCAAAAATCCCTTCTTAGTATGCATTCTCGTTGCATATCCTATGTACCAAATTTCAACTTTCAATTCCTAACTGTTTGGGCTCTGTGCTTATTATTATTATTATAAACCCATCTCAATTATTTATATAGATTAGTTTAAACCTTTCTATATATTTCATTTTTGATTGAAATTTTCTTAGAGATAAATGGGATATGCTTTTTCTACTACAGAACAAACTTTTTATCTAGTGTCAACTAGAACTTTAATTTATTTTAGAAAGCAAGTTATTTACTAAAAAAGCATTAAAATTACAGTGGTACCTCAGGTTACGAACGCCCCAGCATACGAAATTTTCAGGATACGACATGAAATTCGAACATATTTTTGCTCCACGATACGAACAAAAACTCACCATACGACGTTACATTAGTTCGCATTTTTCATTTGTTTTTCTTACTACAGTTATTTTTTTAA